ATATGTTTAAATAGTCAAGCTATTCTAAGTCTTTTTAAGTTCCTCCTTGCAATTGCAGAAATATTACCTGTGGTACAAGTATTCCTGGTTGGGAGTGCAGATCAACCAACCAGAGTATGGCATCAGTCAGTCAGTAGGCATTTAGAACAATTACTTTTACTTTTGATGCTACATTATACATAACATATACATTCAACTGATCGTACTTCTCTTACTACTTTCACTTAAAAGTTCAGTAGGATTTTGAATGAGAACTTTGACTTGTAAAGTATTTTAACACTGTGGTATTGGCATTTTACTAAGTAAAGGAACTGAGTACTTCTTCCATCACTGCAAAGAGAAAGCTGCTCTTAAAAAACGTACTGGGCTTAAGTTTACCATAAGGTATGTAGGAGACTCTGAGGTCAGAATGCATATTATTACTATTAACAGCAAACATGGAAAGTTCCTGTCCCTGTTACACACCTTAACATATTTGCTATTTTTGGACACTTGTGGGTCTCAGCTTAGTTTTTAAAAACCTTTTTGAAAAGCTCACCTGAAAAACAACTTGTATTTCTAAAGGGACTTGAACCGTGACGCTTGGTCTTCATGTGTTGACATTTTTACTGGCTCCTCCTGTTCCAAAACAATCAGGATCTGATAACACTGACAATGGTGAGTGTTTCATTTTTCTCTATAAGACAGGTGCAATCTCACCAGTCACATTCTTGAGCAGCCAGCAGGCCTGTTGTGTGACACTCCTTAGTGTCTCTGTCCAGCTGTCAATGAACATGGATGGTGGTAAAAGGTGAATCACTCGACCTCCAGGAACAGACTTGCTTATGTTCTTCACATTGAATGAAAAGCTGTTTCCTGATATGAAACTTCAGTGTGTCAGGTTAAAAGTCTGGTCCTGACTGTCATTTTTTAGAAGCATTTCCCCATAGAGTTTGTCTTTAAATTTTGTGTGTTTCTCAGGTGCTCGTTGTTGAAAATATCAGCCTGGTTTTTGTTTACAAACCTTTAAACTTGTTCTCAGATCTTAAGTATTCCTCCATCATGTAAAATGTCCATGAGTAAATACTCAGCAAAGTACAGGTTTGTAAAGATTATTATTTTATCAGCAGTGGCCTAATAACTTGAAGAGAGTTAAGATTAAGTGTTGTTTGGTCCGTTTTGATTGACAGCACTGGCAACATAAACAACAGCTGTCATGAGGTTTTGATATACATGTTTAACTGTAAGTGACGCATGGAAATATGTGATACCAACTTTAACTGGACCTGCCCACTTAAAGCCACAGAGGAAAGCCATGGCAAAATAAATAAATAAATAAATCTTCTTTCTTTGGTTTCATTTAATTTCTAAGGAAGGTAGGCTTATTATTGTCAACATCCTGTCTCACTCACTGTGACTCTGTGGTTGATTTACAAAGTCAGTAATGCACCGTCAGGCAATTATAAAGTAAATCCAGTAGCTAAAGTGCTGCACTTAAATACAGTTTTGATGTTCTTGTACTGTACTTGAATATTTTCATTATACAACAACATGATGCATTTTATAAATTAATCAATCCAAAACGTCATAAAGCATTTAAAGTGAGCTCTTCCTCGACCATTTATGTGTTGATACAGCAATAATAATAATAATAATAATTATAATAATGACCCAATAATAAAATGTATGCTGAATGACATGATTGTGTGTACCGACTACTTTATTTTTGAGGCTTTACTCAGCTGATAGCACCTCTGTATTTAAATGCAGGACTTATGCTTGCACACAGTATTTTCACTGTGGTAGTACTACTTACTGAGATCTGAGTCCTTCTGCCACCACTGTTTGTGTTGACTGACAAGTTTCAGTTGATTTGCAACATAGATAAGCTGAAATCAAAGACTTCAGTATGACACATAAGTTGTGGTAAAGGAGCCAAAAATGTGAAAACACGTGTAAGGTGTTTAAACAAAACGTTAAAGACACATACAGTGGTGGAAGAAGTATTCACACCCTTTACTTGAGTACAAGTACCAACACAAACTAATACTTTACCAACTAAACTAATACCGCAGTGTGAAAATACTTACCCTGTAAGTGTTTTTTTACTATATGTAATGTATTTGGATTAATATTACTGCTGCATTAATGCATATGTTGCATTTTACTGCTGCAGATGTTTAATGTTGTGCTCATTTTAACTCCTTTATGTACTGTTGGGTTGTTGAATCTACAGCATTGCATCATATTCTGTAAGATAGTCATATATTTGTAGCGTGGCTGTTCTGTGAGAACCATGTATCCCTAAAAAGTCAACTTTTCATGGTGACAGAAAAATCAGGGTGATATCAGCAAAAATAATTTTGGGATGACCCATAACTGACTGGACTTTTTCTGGGGCCCAGCTATTTTTGTGGGAGGGCCTGAGTAAATAAACTTGTATCTAAAGCTGTCAGACAAGTGGAACAGAAAGTACAATAATTACTTATGCGATTAAGTGGAGTACAAGTATGAGGCTGCATTCAAGTAAATTAAAAGTACTAGAGTAAATTAAGTAACTTAAGTCTTGGGACAGGAGGACTTATGGTCATTACTGTGTATGTCAGATTCAACCAGACTCTTGTACAGAGATGCAGGAATGTTGCCTGGTGAGGTCTGCTGTATGGCTGTCAGTCTGTAATAGCCTGTCAGTGTTGCTCCTGTCCTCTGATATATGGGGCATTCACCTGAGTCCTCTACATCCTGCTATGATAAATAAACAAAATCATTAAAGCATTTGAACTTTTCAAGTGCTTTAAACAGTAGCTGAAGAAATATTCTGATACTATAATACAGGTGAGTAAATATTATGTCATTGTAGGTAGTATATCCTATTCAAAATCCTATTCAATTAACAGTCAGCTAATTGCACTAGAAGTATCAAAATAAAAGTGCTGGTTGTGCAATGATTGTGGCTTCATCTTCATGAAGTAAAAGTATCAGCAGTAAAAGTACATGTTGTGCAGTTAAATGCCTCCTGTGACTGATTATTAGACAGTTAATACTGAAGCATCAATGTTAGAGCAGCATGGTACTGTTGTAGCTGCTCCAGGTGGAGCTAGTTTGAACTTCTTTATGTACAGTTGGCTAATTTATTCCAGTGGTTCCCGCCCCTCCAAAAAGTCACCAGATATATCTGAGGGGTCATGAGGTCATTAATGGGAGAGAGAAGAAGAAGAAGACACTAAGTTCTGATACACAAATCTGTTCCAGTTTCTGGAGTTTTCCTTAATATTTGACTTGAAATAAAAAACAGTCAGTCAAATGAAACCATGTGAGAAGTTTAAAGGGGAAATGTCTTTTGGTCAAGACACAGCTACACAGTGATTTTATATAAAAGGTCACAAGACAATAATGTTTAATGTTAAACTATGTATTGAATTTCATAAGATTCATCATATGTTTTTATATAAAATCTTAAACTAAAAAGTTACTGCAGGTGTCAAATAATTGTAATAAGTGTCACATTTCCCTCTGAAATAAAGTGCAAGTGGAGTAGATCCATAAGGTGGCATAAATTGGAAAGTCTGAGTAAGAACAGACGTGAGCAAATGTACATACTGGAGCTCAGAAGCCTGACATGTTTGATGTGTGGTGAAACAGGTGATTTGCTGTGTTGTTGGGCGTGTCATTGGACAGGTGACAATGTTTGTCAGAGAGGTAGAGAGAGGTGTGTTTGTGTTGAATGTGGAGAGAGAGGGAGGAGAGAAGAAGGTTATATATGCCGGAGCAGATCTGATGATATGGACTTACAGTTATGGCTTTCTACAAAGTTATCGCTGTGGCAGCTCTGCTGACTCTCCTGACACAAGGTAAGGACCCTCCTTACCGCATGCACACCTGAACCAATCATGTTTAAAGTCTACTGACTGCTGTGTGAGAGGAAGAGCACTGAGGAGGAAGTAAAATCTTAAAAACAAGGGTAAAAGTGTCACCAGTGCAAGTCATGCATTCACAATTCTGCTTTTTACATAAATAAATGTACTCAAGGATTAACAACCAAAGTGCTTGCTAGTAAATCAGAATATGCATGAATTAAAGGCAAGACGAGTTTATTCATACAGCACATTTTAGACAGAAAACGACCATTTATAAATAAAGAATAAATAAAAGATTAAAGAAACAGAAGTATGGTAGATTTAAAGGTTTTAAGAAGTACAGAAGATGTAAAATGTATGAAAGAGATCAAATCCAGGAGAGAAGGGGAAAATAAAGTAAGATCATTATTCTCCAGGTCAAGCAAATTCTCTAAACCTCTTTAAAGTCCAAAAGTCATTTTGTTATCTGTTAATATTTCCCTAGAGGGGCAAAAATGACCAGATGTGCTTACTGCATGTTTAAAAAGAAATCATTAAAAGTGCAATATTAACTTCTGACCTGCTGCAGAGAAACAGAGACAGACAGAAAGACCTTAAAGCTTTGGATCTTTTAATAGCTTCAGAAACCCACAAATCCAGATTATTTTCACACACTGAACTCTGGCTTTAATTTCACCTCATTTGAACTTTGTCAGGAGAGCATAAACATTTAACATTTAAACCTTTTGACAAGATAATGTTTTCTACAAATAATAACGATGTGAAGGGAAGCATCGGGTCTTTGTAGGAGATAATTGCGATCCATCCTGTCAATCACTGTCTGCATTAATACTACACAGCGTGTCAGTCTCTACCAATCAGTACATTGCCTGAATTCATGTCCTCAGATTCTCTGGAAATGAAGCCGGATTCATTGTTCATTATAACTTGAGTATCGAGTTTTCAAGGGATTTATTCAGGACTTTGTTGATGAAAGCCTTTGACGCATTACAAATGTAAAAATATGTCTTTATTATCATCATTATTATTATTATTATTATTAATAGTAGCAGTAGTAGTATTTCTATGTATTTTTTTATTTACTTTATCCAGTTTTCCTTGGGGTCTGCTTTAAAATTCATGCGTATTTTATGATCAACATTTTATATTTTAACATCTGGCATCAATCAGGGATACATTTCTTTAAATGTGAGCCTATTTGCAGTTCATAGAGACAAACATGGACCAGTTACATGCGGTCAAATCAAGGATCAGAATCTATTAATCTTACCATTTTAATTTAAAACCACCTTAACATGTAATTAAGTCCTTAACAGACCAAAAGGAAGCCCAGACCTTCTCATTCTTCTCAGTCTAGCCTCTCACTAAGATTAAGTTTCAGTAAGCTTAGAAATGTGTGGGTTATTTGTGGCTTTAATTTCAGAAAATTAAGGGAGCTTTATTTTAGTTTATTCAGAGGTATATGATTGCAGCAACTTTAACCTGTTTTAGAGGACGTTCTCTGGATTAACACGGTGTGACCACAGATTTTTGTTGACATGGAGCAACACCTAGTTAAGCCTCTGACTGAAAAGCACTTACTGTGGAAGTTAGTCATCCAGGAGCAGATCCAGGCCTCCCTCATATCATCTTTGTTCACACATGCATTTTGGGTCATTTTCCAAGATGTTTCCTTTTCATAAATGATGTTTTTTGATTTGACTGCAAATGAATTTCACTGCATTAATACTGAGAGTGATCACCAAAGACTGTACACAGTCATACAGTTCTACCTAGATATTATTTGACTACAGCAAGGATATGTAACACTGCACACAGGTTAAGACCAAAAACTTTTGTGATACGTTCACTTATTGTTATAGCCTATGTGCATTTGAATAGTGATGCGTTCACTTACTGCTGTATGTGCATTTGAACAGTGATGTGTTCACTGACTGTTGTAAGTTCATTTGAACACTGATGAGTTCACTTACTGTTGTGTATATTTAAATTACGATGCGTTCACTTTCTGTTGTAGCCTATGTGCATTTGAACATTGATGTGTCCATTTACTGTTGTAAATTAATTTGAATGGTAATCCACTCCCTTACTGTTGTGTGCACTGCGTTCACTTACTATTGTATGTGCATTTAAATAGTGATGTGTTCACTTACTGTTGTATGTGCATTTAAAAAGTGATGTGTTCACTCACTGCTGTATGTGCATTTAAAAAGTGATGTGTTCACTCACTGTTGTAAGTACATAAGATTATTATATACTAATAATAATAATAATAATAATAATAAATAATTTAAATGGTGATGCGTTTCTGTTGTACATACTAAAATGCAAAAACCATCGTGGTTACTAGAAACATCATATAATTATTTTCACTGTATTCTTCCCAAACAGCAAACCTCATTTGTAAAATCAGTGAAGTGTCACTTTAGCAGTAATATAACTCAGTAGTAGGAGCAGTACTGGAATTAGCAGCAGTAACAGCAGTAGGAATATAACATATGCTCAGTTATACAGCATATTTTGATAGCATTGTTTGTCTGTGATTTAATTTTTAATTAAACTCTGTCCTCCAGGCAGTGAACATTAATCATTCTGTCAGTGTTGGGACATCAATTAGTCCGACACAGTCAATGGACATTTCTCTCTTTGACTGTCATGGCACATGATGGTCGTTACAAAAGAATGACATAGTCGACTTCAGGAGAAATATGTGTCCTGTTTTTTCCTGTCTGAGCCACAAAGAATAGAAACGCCAGTCTGGACTGTCAAAGTTGACTTGAAGTATGTTGAGGCAACTGAGGCAGTACAACCGGTCTGATGGGACAGTATGCTGCCACACAACAGGTCCGTTAGAACAATATGACAGTGTGTAAAAGGTGGCTGTTAAAACAGAACAATATGCAAAGAATGCCTACACACACTCACTCATAAATCAAAGAAATAGAAGCATACTTGTCAAGGCTGACTTCGCTTATTGTTGTCAGTAAAAACAATGACTTTTAAAAGGCAGTAATTACACTTTCTATGCATGCAATATTTACTGACTGGCTACGTCAATAGTCATTATCTCTTCTGAGAAATGTCATCATGATGTAGGTTGCAGTTTCCACCCAATCTGCAACTATTTTCGCAGTTGAATAATTTTAAGTCGTTCTTTTAAGCAAAAATGTCAAAATTCAGTGGCTCAAAATTAATCATTATAATATGAATAAGCTTATGCTCTGCCTCTTTCACTATCTCTGACATAGTACATGTAAGACACATCAGTAAATATATACAGAACTGTTGTTTCAAGAGTTGTTCTTTGTTTTCTATTTTTCAGAGTCGTACTCTCAACTAAATGGTAAGTGAAATTTCTGTCCACCCTTTTTTTTTTCTTCCTTTCTGCTTGTCAGCATGTTGTTGGGATTTTTGTTTTGTTATAGTTTCATTACTGTTAGTACTTCCTGTGTAGCCCAGTAGCCCAAGAGCAATGAAATGTCTAGACTAATGATGAAACAACAACAGTTTTACCTCTTTTACCCAAGAGTGCTGGATTAGACACACCTGAGAGTGCCCCAGGATCATAGTCCTCAACCAACAGTTAAAGTTTATAATCCCAGGAAAGCACAGTGTTTTCAGGAACCACACTGGTTATCCAGAGGAGAGTATTTCTCACTGTGTGTTCTTATTGTCTGTTTCTCTTCAGTGTGTGGTCGGCCCGCGCTTAACACCAGGATTGTTGGAGGACAGGAGGCCCCTGAGGGCAGCTGGCCGTGGCAGGCCAGCCTACACAGATTTGGGGGCCACTTTTGTGGAGGATCCCTCATCAACAAAGAATGGGTGCTGACTGCGGCTCACTGCTTCTCAAAGTAAGCCAGGAAAAAAAACTCTGACTGGTTTTGTGTTCGCTAGAGTGCTCTGCTTTTAATGTCTTTGCACTGTTTTGTTTCTCCTCAGCCCAAGTACATCCAGTCTGATTGTATATTTGGGTCGCCAGAGTCAAGAGAATTCAAACCCCAATGAGGTATCTCGGTCGGTAACGCAGATCATCAATCATCCAAACTACAACCCTGCCACTAGTGACAACGACATCTCCCTCCTGAAGCTCAGCTCACCGGTGACTTTCACCAACTACATTCTGCCTGTTTGCCTAGCAGCTCCAGACAGCACCTTCTTCGCCGGCATTGACAGCTGGGTCACCGGCTGGGGCAACATTCAATTTGGAGGTGGGTCAGAGAACAGCTGGGTCACATTTATTTTTCTGACAACAATGGTGGCAACATCTGTCTTTACTAAGGTACTGAATCGCAAAAATAAATAAATAAAAAATATAGTACCTCTGTCTTTTACCCATGGACCAACAAAACAGAGTTTTGGACATAGGTTTGAATATTGCTTAAAACACACCACAATACAAGAGATAATCGCTGCAAATATCTTTTGCAGTAGGCAGTTTGTTCTGATGATGGTGCGAGAGGAGTGGTCCTTAAAATGTAAAAGAACAGTTAAGTTTCTCACCAAATCACACTGTGTGTTTTGAATTTATCTTTGTCATAAAACATTTGCAAAGCCAATTATTGAAATATTTCAAATTATATACATTAATGTTTGGTTAGCTGTCTTCTTCTTTACTGACTTTGTTGGTACATGTAAATGTGTATTATGTTGCCCTCCTCTTCATGAAGGCTACTATACAAAGAAAACATAATAAAAGATCTAAATTAAAAACACTTAAATCCATTGATGAATTTAAGAGCATCATAAAGAATGTGGTGACAAAGACATGTGCTTGTTTTTCTTGAGAGGCCACTATGTTTGAATAGTTGTTTTCAATCTCAGTGGGACTTCCTGGTTAAATAAAGGTTAAATAAAAAAAAATAAAAAAAATAATAAAAAAAAATACACAGCTAGCATGATTTACATTTAGTCTACATATCACCTGTAAAAGTAATGGACGTAGCTATCATGACATCACCCAATGGTTTGTAGACTCCTGTTCTGAAGCCTTGAGTTTGGCATTTTTCTGCTGTCGCCATCTTGGGTTCTTTTTGGAGCCAGAAGTGCCATATTTGGGCAAGAGGCTGGCCTGTAGAGGAGTGAGGGGTGGATCTAACTGAGAAGCAGAGGACACTATCAGCAAACAGCCTGTCACTCAAAGCAGCCCCCCTTAAATATGCATAACTTTAAGCCTTAATTCAATGTAAACGATGAGTTACATTGAAATTCCAATTTTGTACAGTTGTCATGAATGGGGAAATTAGCTATTGAGATAAAAACCTTGTACCAGGCTTAAACATATCCATTTCTTCTGTGAAGTTGGGCATTTTAACATAAGGTTTTATGGGGATTGAATCACTCTTGGAGGCAGTCTCAAGTGGCCATTAGAGGAACTGCAGTTTTTGGCTTCATTTTGTAGCCCAAGGTTGCTACTTGATTTCAACTGACACTGAAAGAAGAATGACGTGAAGACAAAATCAATAGACTGTGATTAAAAAACACATCAGAAGAAAAAAAACATATTTTTAAATTCTATTTATTTTATTTTTTTCATGTCTGTTCCTTTTTCGCTTTATTTTTGGTGCCAAAACTTACTGTACTTACTGTACTATTAGAAATGGCAACATGAATATTCACAGAAAATTTCATGTACCTAAATCTGGCGCGACATGTGATTAGGTGATGTACACAACATAAACAACTTTAACAGCATCAGATAATCTGTCTCTGACCTGTGAATCTGAGACTGATGACAGGGTCCATCAAAAGTTTGATATGCTGGACCTGTCCTTTTGTTTAACTTTGTTAAATTTTGAATAACTGACTGTGCCTGTAATGGGTGAAGACACTGTAAAACTGCTGGCATGGTCCTTTAGATTCACAGTTATTCATAGTTATCAAATAGTTAATGTTAAAGCATATTACATCAGCTGTGTTGTCTATAAAACTGTATTTGTGTTTCTTTAGTGCCTCTTCCTTCCCCACAAAACCTAATGGAGGTGGAGGTGCCAGTTGTGGGGAACAGACAGTGTAACTGTGACTATGGAGTGGGCACAATCACGGAAAACATGATCTGCGCCGGGTTACGTAATGGAGGGAAGGACTCCTGTCAGGTGATCCTCTTTACTCCAGTGCATGCATCAGATTTGACCTCCTGCAAAGATTCCTCTTACTTAGATCTTCTTCCTAAAGGGGGATTCAGGTGGTCCAATGGTGAGCAAGCAGAACGGTGTCTGGATCCAGGAAGGAGTTGTAAGTTTTGGAGAAGGTTGTGCCCTGCCAGAAAGACCAGGAGTCTACACCAGAGTGTCCAGATATCAGGCATGGATCAACACCCAAATCATCACTGACCAGCCAGGCTATGTCACCTTCACATCCACTGGGACTGACAGTGATCTCAGCGTCACCTGTGCTGGCCTGCCGCCACCTCCAACAACCCTCCCCCCAACAACCACAGCTAAACGTGAGTGTCTGTCATGTCCAAAAACACCAACTTTAACTTTAAATTTCCAGTTTAAAATGAGTTGTTTTCATATTTACAGTGGTGGATGAAGTATTCAAAATCATTCTCTGGTATTTTCCAGCTGATCCAAGAGGGGTTTTAAAGAGTTTATTTAGCTTAAGAAGTAGGATGATTTTCTCAGCATATAACGGAACATTTTATTTTTTAGTTTATTCAACGTCAACACAACTGGGGACACATGGTTTTCACTGGACAGGAAGGGGATAAAAACTGTAATCTGAAAAGTAACTAAAGCTGAAATTTATACTTTTTCCAGCTCTTAATTGAAGCTGTATGCTGTTTACACTGAGGGAAATATTCAAAGCAAAGACTGCATGTTATTTATAGATGCACCATTTCATTAAACTCAAAATATATTGTGAATCATTTTCTACAAATTTCCCCAAAATTATTTTTCTGTGCACATGCATGTGCACTGAGAGCAATGAAAAACTTGATTGTGATTCTGTTTCTTCAGCTGTGGTCTGTGGCCAGGCCCCGATGAATACACGTATTTCGGGAGGAGTCTCAGTGGCGACGGCTGGTATATGGCCATGGATGGCAAGCCTACAGAAGAATGGAAGTCATGTGTGTGGTGGGACTCTGGTGTCTGTTGACTCTGTGTTGAGCAGTGCCGACTGCTTCTCAAGGTGAGACACCTGGAGTGATGTCGTGGTATAATGCCAGTCTGTTTAAGAACAGTAGCAAATTTATTTTTAAATATAGTTTACAAAATAGGAACAGTCTACAGCCATGCTAACAGCTCTGTGACACTGTAAACACAAAGCACAGTCCTTTTATCATTATATGAAAATTAATGTACAGAAGAGTGAGTGAGCTTGGTAAACATTGCCCGCTTTATCCTTTAATGTAATTTACATGCAATTTATATAGAACAAAATGCTGGCACTGCCCTCTGAGAAGCAGCCTAAGAAGCTGAATCTGTAAAGGTCCAGTCCTTGTTTGAAACCATTCAAATGTTTCTCCTCAGCCCTAATTCAGTTTGTTATCTCCCACAGTTCACCCACACCGTCTGCCTGGACCGTTGTGTTGGGTCGGTTGAAACAGAATGGATCCAATCCTTTTGAGGTGACACTTAACGTAACAAATATCACTCTGAGCAACCAGACTGGGTCCAATGTAGCAGTGCTGCAACTGTCATCCCAACCCACCCTGTCCGACTACATCCAGCCCATCTGCATGGATAACGGAAGGACCTTTGCTGTGGGCACCACGTGCTGGGCTGCTGGCTGGAGCTCCGGGCAAGGAGGTGGTGAGTAATGTTAATGCTCTGCATCATTTCAGCCCTTCAGATTAAACATTTAGGCCATTGCACATTGTTTTTGGTGCTAACAAAGAACATATGCCCATTTAGTCCAGGTTCCTGCCATCTGGGTTTGAATCAGATGTTTAATTTCTCATCATTTTCTTGTTTTTCAAACTTCAGAGGAACAAGTTCTGCAGGAGTTCCAAACCTCGGTGGAAAATTGTGGGAATGCATCGTCAAGTGACAGCATTTGTACTGGAACTTTCACACTGGGGCAGGTGAGTGAAAAGAGCAGGACATAATTATACTTTTAAATGTCTTTCTGTTTTTTAGATTGAAAAAATGTCATCTAACTCTCAACAAGAAAATGTCATTCTTAAAATGTCAAACTGTTCCTTTAAGGCATAACAAAGTATTTTCTGTATAGCACATTTAGTGGAAAAAAAATCCCATAGTTCCACAAGAAGATCCGACTGAATGTCTACTTAAGAATCAGAATGAGGTTCACACAAAATGTTGAACATGTGTTTGTTTGTTCAGGGTGATTCTGGAGGTCCACTGATGTGTAAGCTGGACAACTCTTGGTTCCAAGCAGCAGTATTACCAGCTGATAACACCACCAGGGAAACACGAGTAACAGTGATAACGTTCACCAAACTGAGCACGTATCAGGAATTCCTGTCTCGGATAGTGGGGTTCCTTTCCGCAGCCTCCACCAACAGCAACAGCACTGCCACCACAGCAGCCAACCCCACCACCAACAGCGGGGATGCTCCTGCTCACTCCACCTTCTTCATCTTCTTCCATCTCCTCTTCTCTTCCATGTGTCTCCGCCTCTTCTTATAGAAACCTACAACTTTATCTGTAAATAGTGATTTACATGATGTGACAAGCACAAATGAATGTAAACAGCCTTGACTATGAGAGACGACTTAGCGCAAAGCTGCATTAACGTGAATTTGATTCTGGTGACCACTAGGAACAGATCAGTGAAGTTGGCGGGGTTAAATCAAGCATCCAAGGTGCTTACATGAACAGTTGTATTAATGTCCTCTACCAGATGATGTTAAAATGCCTCTGGTGGAATCATCAGCACAAACAATGAGACAGAACTGGAAAACCTTTGCTGCAAAAGGTGCTAGAACAGCAATAGTAAGTTTTGGCATCAAAAATAAAAACTAGCATTGATCAAACACTGACACTAAACAAATCCACTGGAAAATAAAACACAGGCAATACAATTATTTTATTCAGATTTTTTTTTTTTTTTTTGCACCCTGAGGCATGTCTACTGATGGTTTTTCTTCATGTCTCACTTTTTTTTAGTGTCTACTGAATTGCACACTAAATGTAAATCATGCTGACCTTGCTCCTCCCCTTTAATTGATCTCCTCTATGCCAAAAAGTCGCAGGTTTCTTAAAAAAAAGTGACACTGAAAAAAATGAGTGACTTAAAGAAAAGAATAGATTGTCATTAAAAAATAAAACAAAGAATCTTTAATGCCTGTGTTTTTTGATTAGTGTATTTTTTTTAGTGTCGATTTTCCTCTTTCAATGCCAAATTTTATTTTCAATGCCAAAACTTCATGCAACTGTTTTAGCTCCATACAAACTACAAAAAATATGCACAGTATATCTGATTTAAATGAAGGAACTGTGCAGTTTTGTGCAGGAATGCGCAAAATATTGACCATGGAATGTCAAAGCATGAAGTGTAGAGAGTAGGTGCAATGTGCGACGTGTGTATCACATAGAGACACATATGGAGGCTTTATGTTAATTTAACATATAGTGTGAGGAGGGAGATTTTTTAAGTTAAAAGGAAACTTTAAAATGTGAATTTACTTTGAAGGACAATAACCTCCAGCCCACTTCACTACTCTGTCTCAACAAAAAATCATGAGTCACCTCTGTTATGTGGTTTTCATAACGGTTTTCAGTCTTCGATGAAGAATTATTCAAGCTGCACTGAGCAAATATATGTACATGTAGCCTAGTATTGTAACTGAAGCTACATGTACATTTTTTTAGTTTTTTTTTTTATCAATACAATGATAAAATGTGTGAAATTTTTGTAATATATCCTTTGTACTTACTGCGGATATTAAGTCCGTTCTCTAAACAGGAGAAGGTATTTATTAAGTTGCAGATATGATTAAAGACAGTCTTAACAAATGTATGGAGCTAGAACAGTGACAGTAAGTTTTGGCATCAAAAATAAAATATCAAAAATAAAATTTGGCATTGAAAAAAAAAAACAGCTGAAAAATAAAATACAGGCACTAAAAGTGATGTTATTTATTTATTTTAGCACTCGTGTTTTCCAATGACAATCTGCTTTTTGTTCTTCATGTCCCTCTTTTTTTAATGTAAGTTGAAATGTAGGCCAAACAAAACAAAAACTGACACTGAAAAAAGAGTGACTTGCTGAAAAAGTTAAAAAGATTTAATTGAAAAACACACATCAGCATTTTTCAGTGTCAGTGTTTCCTTTTTCAAAACCAGATTTTATTTTCGATGACAAATGTTACTGTTCTGACTCTGTGTAAATGTTTTGAAGTTCAACTTACAGAGGCATATTTTGGAGACCTGAGGAACACAGTAACAATGATCATCTACCTCATATTATCAGAGTTACTGTATCATGACACCAACATCTACCTGAAGTGACACAGCAGTACACAAACAGCATTTGCTTTGAAAATACTTCAGCTGCGATTTATATGGATAATTATTTGGTTTGAACAAATGTCAATTGTAAGTCTTGCTGAATCTTGCCACAGAATACACCTGTCCTGTGAATGTGAAAGCACTTAATAATCTCCTTTTTATTTTTGTCAATATAGCCTGCTTTTAAATGAAGTAACCATCTTCTCTGTCTGCTTGATTCTGATGCATTTTTCCTTTATGCTGTGAACACACGTGTCACTGCTCTCAGTTTAAGGCCTTTAGTTGTTGTATTTATTTGCTAGAAAATTGTTTTCCTTGGTACACACATATTCAGATGAACATGCAGGGCATGAACGGAACAGCTACATATACTCAGTTGGCAGTTTATATAGAACACCAAACTCAAACTAATGCAGTCAAGTCATAACGTTCTGTTTATGTTAATTTGACTATGATCATTTTGGAGCATGTAGTTTCCGGTGCTGTTGAAGAGTGTTGTTTATGTCGCATCACTGACATATGTAAATGGGGTGGACAAAATAAAAGAAACACTTAAAAGTGTAATGCAATACTGACAGGTGTTCAGAGAGGGACGTCTCTAAGTTAAAGCTATCGTTGAGCACAGCACAGCCTGTAACCACTAAAGCAGGGGACATACATAGTGGGAACAGAATAACAAAAAGCAGAGTCTCCCAAATCAGAAATACTGAAGTGCACTACCAGGACCTCAAATAGCAAGACAGTTACAATACTGCACCCTATTGACAGTTTTGGGAAAAACAAGATTATTTAGAAACTATGCTAAATGTCTTCTGCCCACAGGAGCTATAAATGAATGAAGACTGAGCTCAAGTGGGCAAAGAAACCAAAGAAACATTCAAACTGTTGGATCACTTTTAAAACACATCAGAATTTACTAAACCTTCAAAAAACAGAACATATAAAACCATAGCACAAAGCTACTTTAGTCATTTTCTTAACATGCAGAGCATTTTATAGCACTGCATTAAAGTATAAGTCTGGTGATGCTCTATGTTTAAGTCAAGAAATTCCATAAAATGACCAGAACTGTCAATGAATTGATGCTACAACCTAAACACCATCCTGATGCTCACTAGAGCACTAAATGTGGATCAGTCTGCTGTTGAAAATAGTCCCTAACAAATACAGTATTTCCTCTAGTTTGTTTAATAAAAACCAGGTAACCAGTTGTTTCAGGAAATTACAGAGCCTTTTAAAAATAAATGAAAATATGTATCTGTGGGGAGTTTTTAAAGATTTTAATCTTCAGTTGGAACCAACAGGCTTGGAGCTGATAGTTGGTTTTGGTACAAACATAAGATTTACCCTTCACGAGAACTATATCGAATAACGCCAGCATGAGGCTTTAACTTAATGAACCATTCTCAAAATGCACAATACAGAAGGCACTCCCAGCAACATCAGAGAGATCGACAATACTAATACTAAGTTTGATCAAACTGGTGTTCAGTGAAAATAAAAGCCTCTAGGTCTTTCCTCCTGCTAAATACACTCCTACATACACTCTGCAGTCAATTTCACCATTTCATCGAACATTAAAGATATCATGCAATAGGCCTCTTAACAGGTGGCGTTGGTCACTCTAATTGAGCTGTAAGCTTTGACATTGCTATTTTATTACATTAGAAAAAGTACACAGGTATCAACAATGTTGTACTTGTCTAATATATGATATTGGTATAATAGTATACTATAAAATAAACATTTTAAAGGGAGTGTGCTAATGTACTGTGGTATCTAACACTTCAGTATCTCCTGGTGCATTGGACCACTGTAGGAAAAGTTTCAAGTCAATAAGCTCAGCTGTCTTTATATACATTTTTCACATTAGTGTGAGGCTGATTTGTCAAGTATTTAATTTACTAGATTAGCCAAAAAACAGAAACAACAAGACATGAGGAGGTCAGTGGTATGCAACAGTCAAATTTAAAGATAGTGAAAAACAGCAGAAAATTATTTTATACAACCTTGAACACGTGAAACCAGATAGAGAAGACCCTGCTACATTTTTAAAAAATCGAAAAGGGCAGTTACAAAATAATTTCCAGTCTTTTTTAAAGGTAAAAGTCAAAGAAGAGTCATGTTGAGTGTCCTGGAGGTCCTGGTTTAAGCTGCTAACCATGAACCGTCACTCTCCTCCCCCTTTTTTAACTGTCATCTCTCCACTGTAAACTCCCTAAAAAAAGGCATACATTTTAAAAAAAAACAAAAACTCAAAAACTGTAGTACCTGGAGTGCATCAGCTGACAGTGGCATTAGTGCACCTCGAACCCCTTCTTTTACTTGATCCTGATCTCAAAACAGAGGCAGTTGCAGGATTCACACTCAGGAGGCTGACAGGTGCAGGCACAGTCCCATTTGGCACACTATGGGAGAACATAGCAGACAAGAGTTTATTCTAAAAATCATATATTTAAACTGTCTATGGTAAGCTTTTTGCCAAGGAGCACTTAGTAAACTCTTCAGAGTGTGACAAGAGAAAGAAACATAATATATGTGAGCAGCATCCCCAGTATTGTGTAATTGGATACATGAGGGAGTTGGTGATAACACAACGTTGGCAATTCAACATTACTGATAAGCAGAAGCACTTCAGCCATGTTTATGAGAAGGTAGCAAGCTTGAACTCAGAAATTCTCCTGCTCACACCACAATGTGAGACTGAGTGTTTCGACAGACACATTCTGAATAGAAACCATTGGATGAAACTGGACTGTGAAATGTGAAATAAAACATGTGGAAACTGTTACACCTCAAACGGGATAATGTGATCACCTCTGCAATCTCTGAGAGCCATCTCAAAGCATCTTTTGTTTACCTTTTTAACCAATCACATGATGAACTTACCTTGCTACGTTAGACTTAATGGAGCCTGAGCTAGCTTACCGTAAACATCTACGTCCTCTAAAAAATGATTTATGATTTCTTACAACTCATAAACAGACACTAACACATTCAGTAAACATTTAATATAATTCTGTATTAATTTTACCTCAATGTAAAGTGAATAAACGTATGTTTCCCAACAAATGCTACACCTTAACAATGTAGTTTTTACACATTTTTAGAACTGCTGAGTTGTTAAATCGGAGTTCTCTAGTGAATCATAACTCCAAATTTAGTAGCAAACTTCAGTAATAACAGTAATGTTAATGTAAAGTAGTAGTAAAAAAAATACTTTAGGGATTTATTTTATATGATATGAAAGACACTCAAAACTTGATCGGTTTTATTATTATTTATGTGATTCCAAGCATGTGAAAACGTTGTATGCATTGGAGTAGGGTGTGCCAAAAAAATAGGAGACAAATCATGTCCTGTATTGACTCAGTAAGGGATGGTGCATTTTAATGGATGATGCTGAATTATACAGGATGGTTGGCGATCTACTCCTCTCTGTAGGTAGGCGATGGAAATTGTACCGCAACACTGTTGTTGACACAGAAATGTAGCTTTGTCTAGTTGTTGGTAACATTATAGACAAGGACAGCACGACAAGTACCAGAACTCCATAAGGACTTTTTAGAAAATGCCATTTTAATGTTAGTTTCTTTCTTTATATGTTCTTTATCTGTTATGTGCTAAGAGATAATGCAATTTTTTCATAAATTGAAGGCAAACTACTTGTGAAAAGAATTGCCGTTGGCGGATAGCCCCCAAGATTAGCCACTGGGGCAAACTATAGACAGTTTGTGGGACCAACTAGCTTACTGCTACTTCCTCTATCTCATCAGAAGTTTAAACCATAACCATTTCTACAGTAGCTACCCCAGGAATAAGGCGTATACACACTGGTTTAAAGTTTGTGCAAGTAAGTTAGAGAAAGACAAATGTGCTACCCTGGTGGGACAAGAAAGTTCTGTTCTCTTCTACATTGATTTTTATCGCAGACCTGAAATAAAATTAGACCAATAGCTACTAGAGATGCACCGATTTTGAATTTCTGGGCCGATACTGATGTTTAAAAGAACTATTTGGCCGATAGCCAATACAGATGTTTTCATATTGTTGTTCATTTTGTTTTTATTGTCATTTATTTCCCCTTTTGTGCCTGGGAAACAAATAAATCTACACTATGAAAAAATGACTTAACTATTTTAAAGCCATTCAGCCCTTCAGTACACTATCTCTGAATGAGCACAAATTTAGTCGCATGCAAATTTATGAAACAACCTTTCATACAACCTTCTTTCACATGAACAACATCTCTTTTTTTCTAAAAAAAATACTTTTTTATTTTATATAACATATCATAATTCCCTCTTTAATATCTATTTCATATTGCTGCAAAAACATCAACAAATGTCTTCTTCAAACAACTGTATTTATTCAAGTTTCTCGCCAAACACTACATTTTGCAAGCTTAAATTAAACACACCATCAGAACCTTATGAATCACCTTCTACTAAAAAGAATTTTTACTGAATAGAGATTGAAAGTGTCATGATGTAACGCAGAATGCAACCTCCATCAGCTGTTAGTTACTTAACATGCTCTCCGCCTGCTGATTTTAATTCGGATTTGTTATTCACAATGTAGCATTATCAGGGAAACAATAGGGTGCGTCCTCAGATACGTTGAAAGTGACTTTACTGCATTCTTTCATCATGAGGACGTCCTGGACAAGATCTCTATTTGTCCAAAACACATTTTCTATTGTCCCCTGGACTAGGGGACGCTGGCTGCTCCTCACCAACTTGTCACACAACAGTGAGATCACAGAGCCAATCTGCCGAACAGTCACTGTATTCTTCTTCTACCTGCTCCTTAATTTACGTTTTTGGCTGTTAGTCTGGAGCCCTGCTTTTTAGCTAGCAAAATATTGATGTGACACAACATAAAAACATTGGCCACTGCCATTGGTGAGTGTCATCTTATTTGCCAATAGGCCGATGGCAGTCAAAGCGAATATCAGCTGATACTGATATTAAGCCAATAAATCGGTGCACCCCTAATATCTGCCTTAGAAATGGGTCTGATCCTTTGTAAATTGGTCGGTAGGAAAGTGAAGAATGCATGATTTAATTTCCTTTTAACGGTGTGTGAGTGTTTGGAGGTTACTTACTGAAGGAGAAGAGCACAAAATGGCTCGACATGAGCGCAAGGTTGGCAGGCGAAAGTCACACATTTCTGCAAATCTATAGCACTGTTCACTTATGGAAATGTTTGGACAGCAGTCACCACACTCTGAAGAACAACGATCCTTTGGGAGAGAGAACACAGACAAAAATCTGCATCACTTGCCACACTTTTGAAGTGTTGTTTTTAAAGTGTTTGTAGAAATACCTCATAACATATTAAACATTAAGCTGAACTAACAGATTAATCATCTATCAATTAGAAAAGGTGCAACAGCATAATAGTGTGATATTTATTGTTAGGCTTAGCCCCATCAATAAAATATACACAATATTGTTGTCTTGTATTGCCAAGATTATTAATCTGTTTTGAATCCTTAAAGCCATTTTATGATTATGTTATGTGTATAATGAATGTAATAGCGTAACATTTTGTTTTTTGGAAAAACAAGACAACCTCCAGTGAGAACCAATCCTATTCCCTGCTCTTCTCCAAAAACTGTTCCAATCACACCTGAGAAATAACTTGAATAACCTCAGAAAACATTCCTGGAGTAGTACAATGCTAAAACATTTAACATATTAGCAAGATATTAAAGAAAAACAACACGTGTCTTGAAAGGGCATTGTTTGTCTGCTGCTGCCTCAGTTTGTAACACCAGGGGGAGCCAAGAACTAAATGTTTCACATTTCTCACAAGGTGACTTGAGTTAAGTGTTGACGCTCCTGATAAACATTTAGCACCGCAGGTCAAGTCCACTTTCCTACTAATTCTCAGCTACATATGTTGCTTTTAAGTTTCGTGCAAAATTCAGTCAACAACACATATTTACTTCACAATCTGTAGTAAGGAGACAGGTAATCATTGCTTTGTGAGGTAACAGTGACCGGGCCTGAAAGACCAACCTTGAGGCAGTGTCGGATCCACAGCCCGATCCCCAGGACGATCATGTAAAGGCCCACCGTAATCAATAGCACTGCTGGGAGAGGGATGGAAAGCTCCCAAATAGGCAACACCTGAGGAGAAGGACCAACAAAATGTAGCACTACATCTAATAGAGATGAGCTGAGTAGATTGTGTAGATAAGCATTCTTTCTTACTTGCATTGTCTCTTTCTTGGGAACTCTGACGGGAGAAGAATAACAGTTAAAAACTACCAATTATTTGGGCTTTAAAAAACCTTGTGTTCATTGTCTGCTACTGTGAATTTTGCAGAAGAGATGCTCAATTGTTTTTGGTTTGATCAAATTATTTCACTGCACCACAACTTATGAGTAACTTATGGTCAAATGTTATGTTAAATTTAGTCAGTAGTGGAAAGAAACTAAGTATATTTAAGTACTGCCCTTAAGTCCAATTTTAAAGATGCATAGTTTTGTGCTACTGTATTGTACATTTCACTCTACAACATTTATTTATATTTAGATCAAAAACCTATGATGAGTTTATAAAATATCATCAAGTCAAATTAGTTCTACCTCGACCAGTAACAATGTTAGTTATCATCATATTATAATCAAATATCATACATTATGTAATTATCCAACACTTTGAAAGAATGCACAATCATTACTTCTACTTTTGATATTTTAAGTACATTTTGTTGATAATACCCTTATACTTTAACTCAAGTAGCATTTTGAATGTGGAAGTTGCAATTGTGATGCACTTGTAATGAAGTGATTATATACTGTTGTATTCATATTTTTACTGAAGAAAAGGATCTAAGTTAAATTGTTTTTCTACCACTGAGTGGTAAAGTACTATATGCTGGTGGTAGAATGTAACTAAGTACATCAACTCAAGTATTGTGCTTAAGTACGAATTTCAGGTACTTCTTCTTTACTTGAGTGTTTCTATTTTGTGCTGTTTTATGCCTCTACTCCACTACATCTCAGAGGGAAATATTGCACTTTTTACTGCACTACATTTGTCTGACAATTTTGGTTACTTTTCAGATCACCACTTCTCATCCTCTTCCTGTCCAGTGAAAAACACGTATCTCCAGATGTGTTGCTAGACCATTTTCATAGCAGACACTTTGCCATGCCCTTGTAGGAAAAGCACAGGTGTGTTTAATAACATTAATGATAGCTGCATTGTATTTAGGGGAGGCCCTGAAATTGTGCATGGTGGCCCACTCTTAGGCTTATGTGGACACTTATTGAAACTTTCACCTTTGTTTTCCTACAATGAAAAGTCAAAATATCTGCTGTGAAAAGGGTCCGTTTTGAATGTTTGTTATAAAACAAAATATGAAATGTTCCTTTATGTGTTGAGAAAATTCTCCTACTTCTTATGCTAAATAAACTCTTTAAAAACCTTCTTGGATCAGCTGGAAAATGCATCGTCACAAGGGTGAAAACAGGGCTGTTTTTCCTGACACCAAGAAAAGTTGACTTTTTAGAGATACATGGTTCTCACAGGACAGCTATGATCATCTTAAAGAATATAATGCATTGCTGTAGATTAAACTACCAAAGACTATATAAGGAGTTAAAATGAGCAAAACCTTGAACATTTACAGCAGTAAAATGCAACATACATATTCATGCAGCAGTAATATTAATCCATAAACATCATCTATAAAGTAAAATACTGACAAGGAACATTTTACTGCCCAATACTTTTACTTTTCACGTAAATTTTGCTGGTAAATCTTACATACGTTTACTTATGTGTGCTAAGGTTTTGAATACCTGGCTTTTAGTACTTTGAAAGGATCTGAATACTTCCTCCACATAAGCACTGAAATAAGACATCACCTCTGATAACTAAAGTTAACTCCGGGGCAAGATAACAAGAGGTTTATATGTGGTTTCGTTTCATAGCTCCGGCTCTCGGGGATGTAAAATACATAGATACTTTATTCGAGAAAGGTAAAAATGCCACATTGTCAAAAGAACTGCTTCCAAAAATACTTAACCAACTTTACTAAGTTAAAAGTACATAAGTAACTACCGTTTACTCTACTAGCAGTAAAATTGACTCAAATATCAAACGTATTTGTGGTGAGAAATTGTCCTTCAGACTTAAATGCTCGTGAAACGTTAAGAAAAGTACATAAACCGAAGATGACAAACCGTTTTGTAAAATGTAGCAAGCGTTAGCTAACAAAGAATAACGTTAACGTTACAGAGCGAGCGACTTTATTTTTACAGCAGCTAACAGTGCGGATATCTTACCGTTTTGAAGAGTCCTGTATTTTAATGTATGTGTCTTATGGAATAAATATAAATGTTGGTATATGTGATGTAGAGTCACATTGTCCGGTTTTCTCGCTACTAGAAAACAGCAGATTCTGGCGCTTGTAACTGAAACAAACCAGATTAGCTGTTGCCATGGTGTCAGAAGGGTCCCCAGAAGGATCAAAATACATGCACGTCAGCGCGAATTAAAAAAACCTACTGCTCGAAGTGATAATACAGTAGTTTAAATACAGTTCGTTTTCGCATACTCTACTTAAGTACAGTATTGAGGTACTTGTACTTTACTTGAATATGTCTATTCTATGCTACTTTACTACTACTCCACTACATCTCAGAGGGAAATGTACTTTTTAGTCCACTAAAGTTTTACTTAGGCTACTTTGCAGATTCACGTTAATAATATGAAAAATAATCAACAAATAAATAAGGATATATTATTATAGGTTAAGATCAGATGAGACTGTATTGACACATGCAGTAAATTCTCAAGGTGCCATATAAAGTATTTAAAGTAGCTCCACTTTTACCAGCAGCAACATCAGAGTGATGTAGCCTACACCTTAATGCAAAAACAATCTTAACCCAGTACTATGATGTGCATTCTTTTGAAATGGGCCTTTGTGCATAATGAGTACTTTTTTGGTACTTTAAATATATTTTGATACTAATATTTTCTACTTTTAGTTAAGTTAGAGCTTGAATGCAGGACTTTAACTTGTAATAGAGTGTTTTTTACACTGTTGTATTACTTCTTAAAAAATAAAGTTCTGAAAACTTTTTCCACAACTGTAAATACCTGATGATGTACTCAGTGGGGGAAAAAACAAATGAAAATACAAATACAACAGTAAGAAATAGCAAGTAAAAGTAAAAGTTGTGAATTCAAAATGTTACTCAGGTAGGAACAGAATTATTAACAACAAAGTATACTTAAAATATGTATTAGATTATTCTATAATATGATAATTAATCATTATTATAGACACATTAATATTAACTAACATTGTTGTTACTGGTCAAGATACTAAGAGAGCTTATCTGAACTGATGGTATTTTATGAGGTCATCATATGTTTATAAACGGCTGAAAACTCTCTGACAGAAAAGCAGGTCAAGAGTGTGGATAAGGCTGTCACCAGCAATCTGAAAGCAATCCTAGTGCGCCAAGCAACCACTGATGATGATGATGATATCAACACTTGACTCCCCACAGTGGACAAGCCAGGGCCTCTTTGAAAATTCAAAGCCTGGATATGTCAACATGGAATCCTGCCTTGACTCTTCTGGCCACTGCTAATCTACACAGTCTAAATCACCAGAGGGTCTTGCAGAGGGGTTCACGGTCACAGAGCTAGAGAAGTCCTGCTCTACCAAAATTCTGCTGACACTAAGGTCTCCTCAGCAGGCATCAAGGTCAGAACAGGGAGGAAGTGGCATGTGCAGGAGGTAGTAGGATGGGCTGAGAAAGGCTGTGGCACAGCATCCTGATGGGCGCTGTGGTAACTGATCAGGCCAGGACTGGGGGCAGTTCAAGACCTTGCTACAGTAAAGCCAGAGGGAAGGAGAGGCAAAAGCTATTTCAGATGGAAGTACACACAGAGGTGGAGAAAACTCACCACAGCAGAATGGTGGGTATGCGCAAGCAGGGGGCCTGGACCAAGAGGGAGCATACAACTGTCTAAAAGATTACCTGGGCAGAACTCTGGAGGAAAAAAAGCACACCAAATCAAGTTCTCGCTCCAATCAGTGTATGATGTCCTCCTGAGCTCCTTCAAGCTGTTCAGCTGTGGCCTGTCGGACTCACCTGCTTGCAAGTTCTGTCAGAGAAGGGGATCCTTGGGCCACATCCTCAGCTGCTGTCCAAAAGCCTTGGGAGAGGGCTGGTATTGCTAGTGCCATAAGCAAGTTTTATCGGCAGTAGCAGACACCATCTGCACTCATCAACTGTAGCAAGCAGCAACACCCAACTAAGTGCACCATCACTTTTGTTAAAGCAGGGGAGAAGCCTCAGCTTCAGCAAAAGGCCCAGGGTAGTCAGCTCGCAACTGCAAGAAACTGATCATTTCTGGCAGGGGCTTCGCAGGCCATTCTTAATGCCTGGTCCTGGGACTCTTGCTGCAAAAAGCTACAAACAAGAGCCACCAGGAACATCTTGGAAGCTGCTCAAAAGCTTTACTTTACTGGCTCAGGGTTGCCCGGGTGATGGTGTCCAATTTTAAGACCTGAAAAACCTGATGATACTGGGTCCATCACTGAAGATGTGTCAAGGTTGCACTGTAAGGTACATCATAAAACATTTTCAGTTTCAGTTTATTTAGAGTGTAAAATCACCATGGTAGAAACATGGTCTCAATACACTTTACAGAATCAATTCCAATTTGACATAAATAATGGAAAATGTTGTAAAGTAAAAAGTACAATACAGTACAAAATAACATACCTCAAAATTGTGCTTTATGTACAGTATTTAAGCAATGTACTTTTTAGTTGTTGTTTTTTCCTAATTTTGGCTATACTGAACATAACACTTATAACCTGTCATGCATTTGCATCTTTTTACTTTTACTTGAAACTCAGTCATACATATTTAAAGAATAAATGTTATTAAAGTAACAAAAATTGCCAGTTCAGGTCAGTGAGACCCATTTTCAAGTTAAATTGTGTAAACTTGTGTAAAAATAGGATCTGCACACTTGGATCAGTGCAAGTTAAATTGTGTGAAACATCATTTGATATTATTCTGATCAAGACAATGCTTCATTAGATCCTTAAAAATGACCTGATAAATAAAATCTATTCTGATAATTTTGTTTTTTAAATGCCATTAAAAAAGTTAGTTAGTTAGTGTTATGGACCATGGTAGTGAAAAGTAACTGTTGCCAAACCATCAAGAATTAAAGAAATAACAACAACACAAAAATAATAGTAATAAAATCCTATAATAATATAAAAGATTACTCACACACACACACACACACACACACACGCACACTTCGAAAAGCCTAATAAGTGAATCAGTACATATCACATTTAAATTCAGTAGATGAATTGGTAAAAATAAATGGTTAAATTAGACTTGCCAATACTGAAGGTTTAAACACAATGAGAGGGTTAATTTGTTTTTGGTAATTTTCCTTTTGCTAAATTATTATGAAACGATGACGTCATCTTTCCAGTAAGGATGAGAATCAACAGGGCGTGGCTGCCAACGACGTCCCTTTTCTACGTCTGCAACGTACTGACGTTAGTTTCGGGGCGGGGCTATAAAGCCTTGTTTTTCAACCCTACGAGCTCGAGCAAACTCCATCTTGTGAGAGCTGTTGAGGCAGACCCAAGCGCCGTCCCCGTGAAAAAGGCGAACCTTAGAAACGACAAAAAACAGGTTAAAGTTAGCTGACGAACCGCTCGCTAACCAAGTTATTATTCGAAAGGAAAGCAAATCTTATCGTATGTCCGATATCCAGAACCTCAAATCTTATGGTAAGTAATTTTTTTTCTTAACAAACTGAACCGGTAGACAAGGTGGGGGAAGGGCGAGTGCCAGCGAAGCTAACCATAACGGTAAACTGGTTTACGTCGAGGATTTTATTTGCTTCGTTTAAGATGTGACTATTTATTACAACGCTTGATTCTTAAAAAAACACTGTAACGTAAAAGTGTAACGTTACGTTAACTCTCAAAATCTTCCATGTAAGAGTTTGACGGTCTGTGCTTGATCATTTTAGCCGATTAGCAGGCCTCTGCTAACACTGCCGCCATTAGGCCTAAATTGTCCTACTAACGTGTTAGCTTATTCTTGGAGGTAATGATTAGCCGTGTATTTGATTAATAGAACAATAAGCGGCAACTGTTGTAATTATAGTATGGTTATTTTTCCAGTGAAAACTATATTTGTTGGTTTCAGCCTCTTAGACGTTAAGATCTTTAGTTTTTCTTTACCATGTAACATTATGACGGCAAACAATATAGTTTTGTAGGACCGTTGGTTGGGGAAAAAAAGGAAGACCTCGTGAAGATATCAAAATGGGTTGGGGGACTTCTCAGCGGGAATTTTCAAAATTATTTGACAGACTGTAGTTAACTAACTAACCCCTCGAGAACATAACGGACATATGTAACGTTAAAATAGTGAGAAACACCGTGAGTTGCGGCCCCGTTTCATATGTGTTCCTGTTGAGGAGGAAATCGTTAACCGCTGGAAAACTTTAACCTAACGTATATTTCACTTTAAGTATAACATTACCACGTTTCAGGCCTTGATCCACGCACTGAAAATGAAAGCTGCCATGTCATGATTGTTAATTCGTGCTCAATCCTGTTTGCTGGTTTAGCTCAGGCTAACTTGCACTGCCAGACATCAGTGTTAAGCTGGTAGGCTGTATATTTAGCTTCGTACGTGTGCGCAGTTCTCCATTAGAAAAACGGACGACCCCCCCCCCCCCCCCCCCCCCAAGGAGCTCTGCCAGATGTCAACACTGAAGATATGAGAAGTTGATTTTATAGCTAAAGCAAGGGGAACGATTTGTGATTTATTTAGTTTTTAGTTTTTAATACAGAAGTGAGCTGTGTACAATTAATTTTTTTCTGTCTGTGACTTTTCTTGAACATCTTTACAAAGTGTCATTGTTGCCCCCTTTTTTTTCCTCCCACTTTCTTCCGCTCCAGACCCCTTTGCTGATGCAATTAAGGGCGATGACCTCCCATGCGGGACAGACGAATATATCCACATAAGAATCCAACAGCGGAACGGCAGGAAGACCCTCACTACTGTCCAGGGCATTGCCACCGACTATGACAAGAAGAAGCTAGTCAAGGCCTTCAAGAAGGTACTATCCTTGATTGAGATCTGGTGTGGAAATTGATAGGCAATATCAATCTGGCATTCTATCAGCTCTTACCAAATGCTGTAGTATTGTGTTGTGTGTCCTTGTTTTATGTCCCTTATTGATTCATTGTCTGTCCTCTTTTCTAACTCTTAACAGAAGTTTGCGTGCAATGGGACAGTGATTGAGCACCCAGAGTATGGTGAAGTGATCCAGCTTCAGGGAGACCAGCGCAGGAATATCTGCCACTTCCTTACTGAAGTAAGTTATTTAAAAAT